CATCTTGCTTGAAGCTACTTATATCATTAATCCCATATAGTTGTTTTACCCCTGGTATAAGTTTTTGCTCGGTATGCTAGATAAGTAATTATTATTATTATTATTTTTTTAAAATTCCATGGTGCAGTTTTTTGCCTCATTTTGAAGATGTTTTAGCCCCTGGTGCATTTTGTTCATTGCCTTATTTTCCGTCTGTGTTGTATAAGATTGTTACTTTCAACTGCAAGATATAACAATGTATATTCATTTGTTATTTTTAATGTTGCATCCTACTTTTATTTCTTCATATTGTAGCATTGTACTTTGAAATGATCTACCTCATTATAACAATCTCTTTTATGTAACAAACAAATACCATAGATATAAATGTGTAGATTTTTCAAAATTCAGCGTACAAAAAGAAAGTTGAAAAGTAGAATGTTAAAGTAGGGTAAAAAATTTCAAATTGCAATTCCTTAAAAACAAGTTGAAAGTAAAATGATGTAATGAATTTTGAACATTATAATTTTGGTTTTTAGCTTTTTTAGTTTTATATTTTTGCTCTGATTTAATTTATAAGTTTCAAATTCTTAAAAAAAAGTGGACATTAAAATTATTACCGGAGAACGTCCTTACCTTTTGATGAATGTTATGGGATTTTTTATACTTAAATGCATCCTTTATTGCCACTTATGCTGTAATAAACTTTAAAATTTCCAACAAAAGTATTACATTAAAAATTTCTTAATACTTACAACTTGATATATATATATATATATATATATATATATATATATATATATATATATATATATATATATATATATATATATATATATATATATATATATATATATATATATATATATATATATATAAAGTGAATATACCTAACAACCTTATATAAGCTTAGGTACCTAACCTCATCAAACTACGTCATTTTGCATTAAATTTTCATTGCAATCATCTAAGGTTCTTAAACTTCATCCCTAAACTTGATTTATTTAAAAAAAAATTGGAAATTCATCATTATATTTCTTCTACATCCTTTTATTTGTAGCGGTAGGATATGAAGCCCAAACGTGATGTAAAGGAAAGATATTGGTGAAAGTCTAAAGATTTTGGAAGTAATCAAGTTATGGAGTTGAAGTTTAAGAACCTTAGGCAATTACAATGTAAATATGATACAAACAGATATAGCATTATGGAGTTAGGTACCTAAGCTTATATAAGGTTGTTAGGTATATTCACTTTACCCATATATATAATATATATATATATATTATAAACTGGTGGAGATATAATATGGTTTTTGGGGTTATTGTTCAACAAGAAAAACCATAGAGAACTGTAGAGCGTCATTTTGTTCCGTCATGTGGTGAGAACGACATCAGTTGTGTACCAAATTCGTGTACAATTGTAGCATCTTTCTTGTGCGGACTGATTGTTGGTGAATGTGATAATGGAGATGAATATCCAAAAAAAAAAATTATTTGTTTGTAAAGCAACGATTTTAGATTGCAAATCGTTACCGTTTCCAATCTTTAAATACGCTACGATAAATTTTGCTATGGTGGTTATGAGTTGGAAGCAGTTGCATTTCAAGATCATTCAATTATCATATGCACTGTCATCGTAAGACTTTATCTGGATTCTATTTTAGGTATATTATTTTATATTATTTTATTCCTTATATGTTATTTTCTTTGTAGTGATCTGCTTAAGGATCAGGCGGACTATGATAACTTCCACCTAGAATTGTTTGCCTTTAATACATGGGAAACGGAGGGAGCTTCTATTTAACCTGTTTCGGATGAAGCAATTATAAGCGGAGGTGTAGTTTACTTCTTATTCTCTAACTATGACATTTTAAGATTCGATGTATTTTCGGAAGAATATTTAGTGATATCTGCACCTTCTATTACTAATGATATCAACTCTTATACATCGAGGCTTATCAAGTTTGATGAAAAATTGTCATATTTTTATATAAGTGGAGATCTTTCGTGGACTATTTGGGTTTTCAATCAGAATCGGTGGGTTAAATTAGATGTTACTAATTACAATGTTGGTGAAAATGAATGATGGTGTTATCAAAACAAATCTCTTTTATTTCTTTAAAGGAAATACGATTCAACATGTCGTTCCGGCACATCATTCGCATGGAGTATTTTTTTTTTGTTCAGATTTTAAGATGGTTACTATGCCAAGTAAAATATGTGATTGTATTTATTTCAAATTGCATTTGAAAACCATGTTTTCTTCTCATGCACATATTTTAATATTTTATATTATTTAATGATTGAATATTTTGTTTTTTTTTATTTATAGTTTTAATCTTCAAGTCATGTTTTATTTTGTTTTATGATATTAATTTTTTTAATATGTGTATTCAAGAATTTAATAAATTCATTTTAAGAGTTTTGTAGATATTTATATGTTTTTTTATGCGTTCCCCGCGTTAAACACGGGTTATAATCTAGTAACATATTATACGAAAACTTATTTTTTTAAATACATAAAAAAAATATTTTACGTAAAACAAATACGTAAAAAAAACAAATAAATTGTTTGTAAATATTTTTTGCAATACGATAAAAATATATTTTGTTTTATTATATTTTTTTGTAAAAATATATTTTTTTAATATTTTATTATTAATCTATTTACGATTCGTAGATAATACTAATTAGTTTTCAAAAACATAAATGGTTCTAGCCTAGTTGGTTAAGGCTTTTGTTGGTTAAAGGAGAAGGGAGGAGGTCCCAAGTTCAAATTCTATTCCGCTCATTTTCTATAATTTATATTATTTTAACACAAATTATAAAAATAGTTCATGTGGTTTATCAAATGTCACAAATTCATTCCCTTTTATACTTGAAAAGATGAAAATATTCTTACACATTTAATCTCTAACGGCCGAATACTAACGACAATAATAAAAAGAATCGTCTTTGCAAGTTTTGCAAACCACAACGACCATTTGCATCAAAAAAATTAGTAGGGATTAAAATTATGACTTTTAGCAAAACATAGGGACCATTTTTGTAATTTTGTCTTTTTTAAATTACTTACACCCAATCTCTACTTTTTAATTGCAAATAATAATAATAATAATAATAAAAGTTTGAGGGTGGATGTAGACATATCGTTATATATCATTTAAAAAATATAATATTATTAAGAGTAAATTACACGAATGGTCCCTATGGTTTGGGGTAATTTGTATGTTTGGTCCCTAATTTACTTTTTTAATTCGGAAGGTCCCTACTGTTTGTTATTGTTACACGATTGGTCTTTATTTTTTGTTTTTGTTATGCGTTTGGTCCCTATCTTACGTAAAAAGACAGTCATTTAAAAAGGGAAAAATTTGTAGGATGGGTAAAGTAAGGTGAGGGGTGGGGTTGGGGGTATGTTTATTTAAATAAATTAAAAAATCAAGGGAAAAATAGACTTTTTATGTAAGATAAGGACCAAACGTGTAACAAAAACAAACAGTTAGGACCTTCCGAATTAGAAAAATAAGTTAGGGACTAAACACGCAAATTATTCTAAACCATAGGAGCCATTCGTGTAATTTACCCTATTATTAAGCATAACAATATCATTTTTGCAATCATATTTAAGTCTTCCAAGTTCAAAGTAGTCAAATTGAAAAACTAAACAGAACAAAAGCTATTTCAGTTACATCCAAATATACTTTTTTTAATGTAACATCCAAATGTTTTTATTAGAGCTAGCCTTTTTATTTGTCATGTCATTTTCGTTAACTTTATAAAACATAAACTTAAAGCATTTAATTATTGATCCTTTTTTTACATTAACTACTTTACAATTATTTTATAAATGTTTTTATTAGAACTAGCTTTTTTTATTTGTCATATCATTTTTACTAATTTTATCAAATAAAAACTTATTTACTTAAAACACATAATTATTGATATTTTCTAAAATTAATTAATTTACCATTATATTTGAGAAAAAATTAATATCTGATTTAGTTTGTTATTATCTAAGCACTTATAATATTCATAAAAAGAAAAAGTCTGTAACAATAACATTAAATAAAATAAAGATATCACAACACACAAAATTAAAATATGTAGTACTAAGGCTATATTTAGCGTACTAGCTGAAAAGCTAGCTGATAGCTGAAAATCTAGTTGTTTAATCAAAAGCTAGCTGATAAAAAATAACGTTTGATAAAACTAACTGAAAAGTTGGCTGAAAAATATGAAATAACATAAAAGGATATTTAAAAGAATGTGTTCTTATAATTAATTAAGGGGTATATTTAAAAAAAAATTAAAAAGCTCCTAAAAAGCTAGTCTAAGGCTATGTTTGGCGTGCTAGCTAAAAAGCTGGATGTTAGCTGAAAAGCTAGTTGATAACTGAAAAGTTAGTTGTTAAATAAAAAGTTAGCTAATAGCTGAAAAGTTAGCTGATAAAAAATAACGTTTGGTAAAACTAGCTGAAATATATAAAAGTACATAAAATGACATGTAAGAATATGTGTTTTTATAATTAATTAAGGGGTGTATTTGGAAAATTTTAAAAAGGCTCCTAAAAAACTAGTCTACGTAGCTTTTCAAAAAGCTAGTTTATAAGCTATTTTTTGACTTACCAAACACGACAACATAAGAAACTCAAAATATAAGCTAGCTTATCAGCTAGTTGTGGCGCACCAAACATAGCCTAAATAGCTTTTCAAAAAGCTAGCTTATAAGTTATTTTTTAGCTTGCCAAACATAACTTCTTAAAAAAGTTTGAAAAATAAGCTAACTGAACCGCACCAAATACAGCCTAAATATACACAATCGGTTTTTTTTACATATAATAACAGTCAAAATCAAAAGACACTTAAAAAGGTAACCAAATCCCTTTTTTAAATTAAAAAGATGATAAAGTTAGTTATAAAAAAATACAATATAACCATTACAAATTTAATACCGATATTAAAAATCAAAACAAAACAAAGTAATTAGTCAAAAACAATAATACTGTAAGGGTTAAAATATTGTCGGTAAGTAAAATGAAGCATTATTGGATAAATGTGCTCACCTATACAAAACACAAAAATCAAAAAATCATTTAATTGTATAAAATAAAAGTATCACATTGGAAAAATCAAAAAATCATCTGCCCTCTAAGAGCACACGGTATGGGGCTTATTGCCGACGTGGACAAGCCTTAACGGCGTGGTAATGGGGAAACACTGTCTTCTCTTTTCTTCTCATTGTGGCATGCATTGTTGTGACGAGAATGAGCCAACACGTCATTTTCCACCAATAAGATTTCTTTCTTTTCTCTCTATTTCTTAACACTCGTTATAACATTGACCATCATTTCCTATCTAAATGGTGTGGTGTTAAAGGTGATGTGTTATAGTGATGTGGCAGTTTTTTTGATGTCATAACACCCACCCATACCCGATGGTCTGTTCTAATAGCAGGAAACCTCTTTGTAGTAGTCATAATAACTAACATTTCAAAAAAGCTCACATTAGAAATGTTCTTGGTATAATAATAAAAAGAAAAAAAAAAAAAAAAAAAAGTAAGATAAATTGTGTATTACCCAATACAAATTTTACCTAAACACTAAAACTGATTATATACAATTTCAAAAGTCTTGTATATCATCGGTTCATTTAGTCTTTACAAAAATGTGTTTCCTCAACGGATTCGTAAATTTGACAAGTGAAAATTGAAGAAAAATGGAAAAAACATGCTATACGGATTTCAAACATCTGTCATTCAAAAAAAAAAAAAACTTTAATAGCCGCCTATTACTAAGTACTAACAGCTAGTCACTTATGATTAACACATACAAAATGTTAATTTTCATATATTTTTAACAACACAAAGTAGAAACAATGTACGCAAAATTACTCATTAGCATCTTTTTGAAGCTCCTCCTTTAGCCTTTGGATCTCAGCATCTTTGTTTTCTAGCTGCTCTTCCAGGTTTACCACCTGATTCACAATTATCAACCCAATTATATTGTTATTATTGTTATCAACTAGAAAATAACTAAGGACTAAAAAACAACCATTTCATTTGATTTTTCAACTTCGTTCGTGAGTCCCTCCATGTGCTTGCTTAATCCTGCATCAACAAACAACAATTAATATTCACCAATACTTCCTGAAGCCTTATCGATAACTAAATTAAATTAAATAAAGAAATAAAATCCAACCTTCAAAATGTTTTTTAAGCTCTAGATTCTGAGATTTCTGCAAAGCAAGTTTCATTGATAATTCATGTATCTGCCACCCAGAAAACAAAAGTCAAAAACCAATAAGCACAAATGCATCCCTCAAGGACATAAATGTAATTTACTCTTACTACCTTTCCTTCCTTTGCCTGATTTCCAATCTCCTCATTCTCCTCCTGAAGAGTCCTGCATTTAGCCATTAACATCTTCCCCATCTTACTTTGTGGAGTGAAATTAACAGCACCAATATTATCCTCTAACTCCTTCACTTTTTTATCCTTCTCCTCCACCAAATTCTTCAATCACAACAAATTAAAATATATATATATATATATATATATATATATATATATATATATATATATATATATATATATATATATATATATTTCATGAATTTTCTTAACGCATGTAAGCTTTTAATATGTTTATATCTTCTCTACCTTTAAACGTGTAAACTCTTCATGAATTGCTGGATCAAGTAATAGCCTTCTTGCCTTCAGAAAATCACACATTATTATTATTTAAAGATTTGCTACTACAGTTTAATCATATTAATGTAGTTATTTTTTTTTCACATGTGACTTTCAAAAGTCAAAATCAGTTGATTTAACTATAAAATTTATTGTTATTTAAATATACCTGCATTGATGGAGGCTTGAGTTGTGATCTTAAATCCCGAACTGCAGACTGGAGAATTCCCAAATGAATAACTTTTTTTAATTATATTTTCAAAATATGAAAAAGTAAACAGCTTTTAGTATGTCAAATAAAAAAAAAGGTACCTTTAAGTCTGATATCTCTTGTTCCCGTTTTGCAATGGTTACTATAAATGCAGCTTCCTTTTTCTTAGCTTTTTCTAGCTGAACAAATATAGAGTTTAAAAAAAAATGAATCAGAATTCAGAAACCATGGTTAGTTGGTTAGTTAACTGAAGTTACTAGTTAACCTGATCTCTAAGTAACTCCTCGGAAGATTTTAAATTCTGGAGATAACTGACAGCATTTTTAGGTTCTGCATAAATAAATTAGTTAAAATTAAATATCATCAATAACCATAATTCATTTTTTTTTATAAGATGATAGTTAAAGAAAACTAACCTGTTGTAATGTAGGATTCATTCTGAAATGCAGAATGCCACTTTTGAATTTCTGACTTTGCAGCTTCAAGCTCTAACTGGAACAAAGATCATTAAGATAACAAACAACACCATTAATATATATTATGGTTAAAGATATTTACAAACATATTTATAAAATTAAAAAAATAAAAAAACAAATTGTACATACTTGGCATGTGGCAAGATTATCTTTACAGCTCTGGAGACTACACAAGTTACAACACAGAGAAAGATATGAAAGGGTTAATTTATTATGTATGATTCAAAAATAATGTTAAAAACAAAAATAATAATTCATGTTTGATATTACCTCTCACGCAGAGATAAAATCATCCCAGTTGCTACACCTGATGCAGTTTCTTCTGGTTTTGAGTTAGCCTGAGATGCAAAACGAAGTTTTTCCAAATTAAAGATATTGAAGTCCTACTAATACAGCAACACAAGAATGACTTAATGGATTTGCTTTGATAACGACTTAATGGATTTGCTTTGATAACAAATTAAAGATATTGAAGTCCTACTAACAAACATACTTTTGTTTCTCCATTTAGGTGTTTAAGAAGAGCATTAAGTCAAACACCATGCTCAATGCAGATGTCTGCCTCAGGTATTTTGTAATGATGTTGGTGTACTTTTCTACTCAAAGGAACTTTTGACATAAAGCACAGGGAGATATCTATATTAAAGAAGAAGACTCTAATCATCTACCTGAGGATGTATAACCACTAAAAAACAAACAACTAAATAGAATACCTTTTTGGAGCCAAAAATATCATCTTCCTCGTCATCAAGATCTCCAAAACTCCTCTTAGTGCCTGCAATCACATTACAGAAGTCGAACATAAAACGAAAGATAAGTTACATGATTAAAAAAAAACGCTACTGGTTGTAACTCCGATAATTGATCATAACCTGCGCTTCTTGCGTGGTCGGTTCCAGGAAAATCACCATCGAAATCATCATCCTACGATTGCCGTTAATCAGAAAAGAAATTTATTAAGAACAATTTAAAACCCAACAAAAAAAACGCATACAATACAAACCCTAGAATTTATCACTTACATCGTCTATCTGAGGGTGAGGTGCCATTGGTGCTGCCACAGAAATTTAGACAAGAACGTGATTGTATCTGGATTTGAGGTTGTACGGGGAAAGAACGAAGAAAGGTAGACAAAACTGCTACGGGGTTGGATTACTTCGATGGTTTTTGCTTCTGCTATGGGCTCGTGACCTAGCCGCGCTTTGTTCTTTGGGAAAATGAGAAAAATGGAAAACAAGGGTGTTTAAAGTCACATGATTTTTTAATTAAGTCGGGAAAAGCCCCAAATTTAATTTCTCGATTATTGTGATCATGATATTTTCGTGAATTATCATTTGAGAGTTAATACCCGGTGATCAGCAGGTAACTTGTTCCAACCGGTCACCATTAACCTATTTCCTAGTCATCACCTTTCACGAACCATCACTGCTAAAGGGTTTCATGCATTCGAGGAGGGTTTGATGCTGCGAAGGGTTTCACAGTCCCCAATTTCGCAATTTGAAGCTCTGAAATCGTTGGTGGAGTAGAAAGGTACGTATATAGAAACAAAAAATTGATGATTCTGAGGGTGGTTATCTTCGTCTATGGAGTATGGAGTTCCAAGTTTGAACTAACAAGTTGTTTTTTTTTTTATGAAAGAGATGGCTTCTACTTTTGGAACTAAGATGCGTAAAGGGCCTAAGCTCCCTGAGAAGACATACATTCCAGACTCTGACTCCGATGATGATGCATTTGACTTTAGCTTCTTGGATATTTCTCAAGAAACTTTCAAAGCCCCCTTAAATCTATGTGATGATCATTTTCTTAACTTATCGTGTGACGAAAACATATTAAGGAGGAGTATTGATGGAATGGTAGATGATGGCGACATTCCTGGTATCCAACAAAATGAGCATGCCCACTTAGATGAGGACGATGAAGATATTGGTGTCGAGTTTAGGGTGCATGATCCCAATGTTGACTGGAAAGAAATGAGGCCCCGTTTAGGAGATTGTTATGAATCACCTGCTTAACTCAGGTTTGCCTTAACTAACTATGCAGTCCATGGAGGATACCAGCTTTATTTTGAAAAAAGTGATAGAGTGAGGGTTATAACTAAGTGTGGTAGTGGAAGCAGTGACAATAGAAAAATGTAGTGTCCATTTAGGGTTGCAGCTGGATAGAAGTACAATGAAAGGACATTCTAGATTAAATTTTGTAATAAAAATTCATCTGTGTGCTAGCAATTGGTTAGCCAAACACTACTTAAAAGATGTAATCATGAAGCCCAAGATGACATTGCTAGAGATGCAAACAAATGTGCTACAAAGGTTTTTAGTGAATGTATATGCTGAGGAATGCCAAAGAGCAAGGTCTACTGCAATGGGGATGATAGAAAGGAAGTTAGAAGAGCACTATGTCAGGGTTTGGGACTATGCAGTTGCAATTAGGTTGAGTAATCCAGGTACAACTTGCTTGGTGGGAGTAGAAAGTAATTTGGGGTGTAACTATTTCAAAAGGTTTTATGTTGGCTTCAAGGCTTTCAGAGAGGGATGGAACAGAGGATGTATACGGGTAATAGGACTAGATGGTAGTTTCTTGAAGGGGCAGGTAAAGGGGGAGATTTTAATTGTTATTGGGAGGGATGCAGACAACCATGTCTACCCAATAACATGGGTAGTTGTGAATGTTGAGAATAAGGACAATTGGACCTAGTTCACTGAGAATTTGGTTAATGATTTGGATCTTGGTGCTGGCAATGGACTGGTTGTTATCTCAAACTAACACAAGGTACCAACAACATATATTAGTATACAACACTGTTGTAAAAATCCCGACTAGGTCCCGATTAATCTCCGATTAATCCCTAGGCACTACTCGACCGACTAGAGGGCGCCTAGCGATTAATACCTGCATACATAATGAGTGAAACATTATGAATCGATGAAATTTTTACATTTTGAAGAAGTTTTATCTCAGTGGAAACTATTTGAGGCATGATTAGTGTTGTATTAATCATATTAACCTATTTTGTTATCATATTAGTGGTATTTACGAACTTTGGTATGATATTAGTCATATTTAATTTTTTAAAATTTAATAAATTAGCAATTAATGGTACCCGATTAATCTCCGCCTAGCCGATTAATCCCTTGACCCCAGTCCACCGACAAGCTAAGGTCGAGCGTTTTTTGCAACCTTGCTATACAATATATATTTATACGTAACACTCATTAATTTTTACATGTGTTGTGTTTGTTTGTTAATTATAGGGACTTCTACAGGCTGTGGTAGATCTACTCCCCAATGTTGAGCATAGATAATGTGCTAGATACATCTTTGCAAACTTTAGGAAGAAATTTACAGGATTAGAGCTAAATAATTTGTTCTGGGAAGCTGCTATGAGTACAATGGAAAGGGGACTTTCTTGCTACAATTGATAAGATAAAGAATATAACAGAAACAGGCTACACCTATCTTATGGAAAGGAAACCTAAAACTTGGTGTAGAGCCTTCTTTTCTCATGGGTATGCTTGTGAAGTAGTAAAGAATGGGGTTATAGAATGTTTCAATGGCATGATCAAAGTAATAAGGAATAAGCCTCTACTTACAATGCTTAAGGAAATAAGGATTCTCCTTATGAAAAGGTTTTTTCATCAAGGTCAAGAGGTAGCCAAATGGAGGGGTAATTGTGGGCCTAACATACAATTGAAGATTGATGAATTTGGGAAAGATATGAGGTAATATAAGTTTTTATGGGCGTGTATCCAACTATAGTATGTATTTATTGTTTATGTGTATACTTTGTTTGTCTTGTGTGTAGGTTTTGGACAGTGATGCCAAGTGGTGGTGATGTGTTTGAGACTAGGTATGGCTACAATGGATACAAGGTTGATTTAGCTACTCACACTTGCACCTGCAACTTGTGGATGTTGTCTGGCATACCATGCGTGCATAGTCAAGATGCAATCAAATATATCCACAAAGATCCAAGTCAATTCCTTTCTTCTTGGTTTCGCAAGGACAAATATGTTGCAACATACAGTCATAACATACAACCTATAGGTGGAAGAAACTTGTGGCCAAGGACTGAATTTATTAAACCATTACCACCCCCAGTTAGAAGGATGCCTGGAAGACCCAAACTAAAGAGAGTAAAGCATGCATCTGAATCATAAGATGCCAAATACCCCTCACAAAGGTTAAAGTTTCATAGGACTGTGAGGTGTGGAAAGTGCTAACAACTTGGGCATAATAAGATTTCATGCACAAATGATGAGGTACCTAAGCCCTTTGTCCAAAAAAGGAAGATTGGAAGACTTAGGAAAGATGGGGGAGGCCAACTTATCTTTGATCAATTCCCTCCAGTTGGGCCTGCTATACCAAGAAGGGATGCTGCTCCTCCCCCAGTTTTAGAAATTAGTGATCAAGATGGAGGTCCTGCTGTTAGTCCTATGAAAAAGGAGTAAGCCGGTTGCAAGGAGAAGAGGGAAAACTAAAGTTTCTGGATCAAGGAGCAAAACACCAAAGAAAACACCTAATGGTAAGTAACATAAGAGTCAAGCAAAAGAGGATGTGTCCCTAACCTGTGATGAGGATGTTGATGATATTTTTACCCAAACACATAATGGAATAATGGTAAGCAACCTATAAGTCAAGAAAAGGAGGATGTTCAGGAACAAGAGAATGACAATGAGGTGAAGGTGAATGAAAGAGTTACTTTAAAGGAGTTGTTGATGTATGGATATACACATGCTGATGCAATGGCTGCTATGAAAGAGGTATGTGTTGTTACACTCTTTTTAACTTTCATATTGTATCTTTACTAACTAGTCTGCCATATTATAGATTTATGGAGAAGTTGAGGAAATACATGTTGATGAAAGAGATGTTCAGGAAAAAGAGATTGAAGAAAGAGAGGTTGAGGTGACAGGTGCTTGACTTGCCTCTAAGTTAAGGTAGAACACCAGCATCCACATGGTCCATTGCAGCCTCTGGAGATTCCCAGTGGAAGTGGGAACAAATTTCTATGGACTTTATCACCAAGTTACCGATGACCGCACGTGGAGTTGACACGAATTGGGTGATTGTGGACCGGCTGATGAAGAGCGCTCACTTCCTCGCCATCAGTGAGAGTTCTTGTATAGAGAGATTGGTCGAGATTTATGCGAGGGAGGTGGTAGCTCGGTGTCACACCCCCAAACCAGGATGGCGGAAACATTCGGGGGTGGATGACTTCACGTAGTATCACAACAATTGAATATTGTAAAGAAAGTAACACACCATCATATATATATATATATATATATATATATATATATATATATATATATATATATATAATGAAAACGTATATTGTTGCGTTATACATGTTATCAAAAGAATATTACAATATGATGATAAATGTTCAATAATAAAAACATCTTTAGTGTTCCTTCTCCCAAAAGCTGGTAGTTACCTGTATCACTGATTCCCTGAGAAATACAAGTGGTTTTGAAAAAGTGTCAACAATTAAGTTGGTGAGTTCATGAGTGTTTCGAGTTGAAAAGTATATCCTTTTTGGTAGTAAATTGGTAAACGAGGTTTTCCGAAAATCCAATATCTTCTTGTAAGTGATTCAAAAGTTTCCAAAGTTGGAATGTGTTGGTATCTTTTATACTTGAATGATAAAAACAACTTTGTATGAAAAGTAATGTAGAAAACTGCAATGCACATATGAATCTCGTAAATCAATCTTGTTTTATACTTTTTATGTGAGTTTTATAACCATACTATTGACACTGACGGCCTGTAACAACATTCTTCAGGTGTTGCAGTGTTATGACATTTGTCACCCCAGACCTGCCGGTCTAACTATAGCTAGTAGTTTAGGTGCGGGATTGTCAATCCCGTATAGATCTATACACAAGTATCACGCTCTCCCTCCAAGAGATTATGGTATATAATACAGGACTTGAAATGCATACAAAAATGTACGTTGAAGTTTGAATATCTCACATTGCCTAGTATAAGTAGATTTACAATGAAATGACCTTACTTCTTTTGAAAGCGTTTCGTTTTTCAAGATGTATATGAAAAATGTAGGACTGACTTGTTAACTATACCCATTATAGTTTTTCAGATAGTATGTTCCATTTAGTAGAAATAACTTAGTGACATAATAGCTCTTGTATACATAAGTTGTTTGTATCGATATTCGAAGATAGAAATTTCATTTATGTTTATAAAATGATACTTTAACG